TGGAATAGCCAAAGTATCTAACCCTAACCCTCAAAGTCAAAGTGCCCTTAAAGTACCTTAAAGTTACTCGCTAAGGTCAGTTTAAAGTGGTTCCTATCTAATTTGTTCAATTATGGATGATTTCTCTTTTCTCATCACACACACACACACACACACACACACACACACACACACACACACACACACAAATATGAAAGCAAGCCCAGCTACTCTACACTATGGTAGTAAAACGTTTACTCAGTACTACTACTAATAAAGAGGTGGATCCTGCCCTCTAGTGGTGGAAGGAGTGACACACATGTTGTCTGGACTATGACGTATCACTCTGCAGACTTGATGAAATGCCTTTGTTGCGTCACATACATCTTCCAAACACTCTAGAATAAACCTAAATCTTCAGCCTGATGTGTTTCTTCAGCATGACTTTGCTCTTGTATGGATAACCAATGCAGAACCCTGAAACAACCAAAGAAAAAGAAAATAAAAACATGAATACCACCTCATTTGTGCGCCCTGGAGCATCATGTATTCATATGACAGGTGTGAATGTCTAAATGACTTTGCGGTTAAAATCTGTTAAAGCTGATACTGTGCAAATAATAGTTCTGTTTTACCCCAGGGAGAGACACAGCAGCAGCAGTAAAGCGGTTAAACAGGCGGCGAGAAGCGGTAACAATGAGGCGAGGAAGGAGCGGGGAGAGTCACCAGACGCGGGGAAAAACTGCCCTCCTGGGAGCAGAGACAGGTCAAATGTCTCCTGCAGCTCTGTGTGGCCTGCCACAATCTGGGGGGTCACTAAGACAGACACGAAGGGATGAAGACAGGGAATATAGAGGAGAACCAACGATGAATGAAGTGAAAGAGGTTGGTTGAGGAAGTCTGCAGTTTTAATTGTATTTGCTTAGTAGGAGTTTCCTCATTTATTAAGCACAAATACAGAGTTAGTTAGTCTTCTGTACACAGTAGTTGACATGTATCATTAGTGGGTTATAACCCACCAATTCAACAGTTGTATAATTTAAGAAAAAATGTGCTAACCCAGAAAACTAAAATAATTATTCAACTAATCATATAATGTTCAGGAGGTGAGATGCACATAATATTATACCCATATACATAATTACACATGCTAAGCTGTGTAAAAATGCATAATCATGAATGCTAATAGATGCATTCATATAGTCAAACAGTTATTTTTGTTCTTTCCTCCTTTCTAAAATCTCCACTTTTCAGTAAAACACAATCTGTACACAGGGAATTGTCTGCACAGGGCTCATTTACATTCTGATATATTCTTCCACATTTCTTTAAATGTGTTAACAACTTTGCTACCAAAGGCATACATCCAGCAGGCCTGATTTATTTCCCTGTAAGAAGAATTTGGCTATAAAAAGCAAGGGTATAGTCAAACTGGATGTGCTTTAGGTTAGTTAGTATTCAGTGTTAGTTATTAGTGCTTTAGATGGGTTAGCCTTTAGTTTAGTTAATATGTTCCTCTGTTGTTTTCATGCATATCACTCCCTCTTGACTCCAAACAGCCAGTGCTTGCTTTGCCAGCCAACAGCTCCATTAAGATACCTGCGGCAGCACGTCCTCGCAGCAACACACTTTCCAAATATATTTTATTTGCAAGGTCACTCAGTAGTAGTGGAATAGTGTTTAGAAACCTTGGGTTCATCATAATTATAATTTTATTTTACTGGATGTGAACATGTTTGGAAGCGCACCTGAGCAGTAGACTCAGAAATAACAAGCTTCTCAGCAGCTCAACAGTCCAGTCTCTTTTTATTCCCTTTTTCTTCAGTGGATTAGTGTGCTGGATCTACATTGCAGACTGGTTAGACAAACTGAAGAAAAATCAAACTAAGAAAAAATATTTTTTTTTGAGAAAACAAAACAGCTAGTGTTTTCAATTTAAATATTATATTTCAAAACTAAATCAACCTTCTAAGGAACAATTCTGCAACAGGCTAAATCCATTATCAGTGGGACCTTACAGCCCTCTGACCTGCTCAGCATCACAGACTGACACGCAACAATCCCTGAGAGAAACTCCTGGCTATATAGTTAATAACTTCTCTCATCCCAGGAAATAATACTTAAATACCAATAAATATTAAACTTATAGCAGTGCACAGTGTCTCAGTCAAACACAATGGTAAAAAGTTAAGTTAAAAAAAAAAAGTAGATATATTTATCTGTCATCTATTTATTTCTTAAACTTCAGGCTAAAGTCCCCCTCCTTCATACCACACTTCCAGGAAGGTCACCATAAAAAGCAATCCCAAAGTGCCTGGACATGCACAGCACAATGGAAATATAAACACTGTGGAGTATGTTTGGAGGTCACAGGCCTCCCTGTGACACACAGTAGCCAGCTTATTTAGAAAGGTGCGTGGCTAATTTACAGTGATTTTCCAGAGGGTGCTAATTTTGGACAGAGAAGGCTTTCAATTAAATGCACTTACTGGAGACTTTAGAGACTTTCTAGCCAACTACTTAGAGTGTCTCTGAGTGCAATCAAGTGGTGAACAAGACAAACAGGAGCCAGCACTCACGTCTCTGGAAATTTATGGGAGAAGATTTGACTGGTGATGGCGAAATTAGAAAAGAATATGAAAGTTCAATGTACCCTCAAAAACAGCTGTTCTTTCTCATTTAAAAAAAAGTAAAACTACAATGTAAATAATATAATATCTTTAAAATAGTTTCAATACATGTCAAAGTTTGGACCTATTTACTTATTTCATCAAGTGTTCAAACATTTCTCTGGTACAAAGTAATGTTGCTTTAAATGTGAAGAAGTTTCCTTTTTCCTGGTACAAGGACTCTCCCCTTGATCAGTTAAAATTTCCAAATATCCTTCTAAAGTCAGCTGTTTTACCTGAGACATAGTAGTATACTCGGATAAAGGAGAGCTGGCCCGAGTACACCTCACACTGGTAGGTGCCCTGATGCTTCAAAGTCACTGAGGGGATGGAGTAGAGCCTGTCAACGCCCACAGTCACTTCTTTAAAGTGATCCAATTGCTGCGTTTCAACCTGAAGGATTAAAATGTTCTCAGTTGTTGTCTGCTTCACACAAACAAACAACAAAGTGTTAATAATAACAGCTCAGCATTTTATATTTATTAAATCTGTTGTCACAAGAAGTCAACTCTGTTCATGTGGTTATAAATTTGCAAAAATTTGTAGGCAACTGAGCAAAATCACGCACTGACAAACACACCTGTTATTAGGAGACATCTTTAAGCCTGTAGTGCAGAGCTAACTGTCTTCCAGCTCCAGCCTCAAATTTCAAAGATTTGAAATCACGTTGCTCATTTCGTCTAACTCTAACTCGAGTAAGTTGGTGTGTGTATTTTGCAAAAATGTTGAACTGTTACTTTTAACAGTGACCCTGAATGATTCACCATATGCTGAGCGTACCTCCTCTGCGAACCTCCAGATCACTTCAATATCAGTTGGCAAGGCAAATGGCACGTCGCACCACATTCGAATCCTGCTGTTTTCCATAACTTTAATTTCTTCCACTGAAATAAACATATAGCCACCCACATGCACACAGACAAATGCACACACTCAGATAACATTCGCACAGGGGCAGCTCTTGCAGCCTGAGCTCTCCTTAATGATAATATTTAAGCCCAGTCTCAGAGGAGTCGAGTAAAAGTGATGATATGCTGAAGAGTGGCGGTGCTGTAAAGGCTTGATACGAATACCATGTGTGTGGGAGTCAACTGTCACCTTGCATAAAGAAACCAAGGACTTAAAGAGTACCTCGGGGGCTCTGTGCAAAAGATATAATGTGTGGAAATAAAACCTTTCCTCTGTCTCTCTTTCAAATCCTCACTTTTTGCTAAGAGCATTTCAAGGATCAAGAGTGGATGCTTATGGAGGTGAAAATAGGGCTATTTAAGGATATGTCACATCTGGATTAGTACTTATTTCTTTAGTTGGAAATTGTGACATAACAGAATCAGTGATGTGTTAGAGGTAATAATATGAATAACAGTGCTCACCTGGGCAGTCGAGAGGAAATTCACAGGAGTCGTACTGGCAGGTAACACAGTCGTACACTGCACCTGCACTCTGAAAACCTGATGGGTGAATGAAACCGATACTGATGCCATTATTATTTGGTTTCTAAAAGCAATGATTGTTATGTTGTAGAATCAAAAAAAATACAATAAAATCAAGACAAACCACATGGAGGGATACATCCAGAGACTGTGAAGAGAATAAAAAACTTTGATTAATAAATATTACTGATACAGCATCCAGGAGTGAAAGCCAGTTAAAGCAAACCACCTTCTGGATCCTTCATGGTATTTTAAAGACTCTAAAAATGTAACTGGCATCTTAGAGAGAGTACAGAGATCACTGTAAGATGTGATGACCTAATATAAGTTATTATGGACAGAAAGATGGAGGAAAAGGGAAGTCCGTGGCTCACCTCTAGGCAGTTTGGAGGCAGCTGAGATGAAATTGTCTGCTGCTGTCTGCAACCTTTGCTCGTACACAGTGTCTGATAGATGGAGGGGAGGAGGAGGAGGAGGAGGAGGAAGACAGAAATATTTGGCTCAATTCATACTGGGGAATTGTGTGGCTGGGGGCATCGTTTTTTGTTTTTTCTAACTTCTCTTTTTCTGACCTCACTTAGCAAATGTATTACTCTTTTATCGATGCAGCTATACAGTCTGCTTAAACAGGTGTTTAGCTACCGTTATTCAGCTTTTGGTCAAACTCTTCCAACAGCGGGAGGACCTCTGCATCCAGAATTTCCTTCAGTTGGATGTCATAGCCTTTACCTAAAAAAATCAAGAAATTACATATCACCTAGATTTTTACATGCTGTCACAAACTGTTCCTAAATTGGCAAAGAAGAAACTCTTTCGCACCTACTCTACCAGCTTCAATCACTGTCTCATTATTGTTGAATATGCGGTCCAGCTTCTCGAAGCAGGCGTCAACGTTTCTCACATTGTACTCGGTCAAAACGTGACCCCAGCACAGACGGAGACTGTCTTCCACATCCACAAAACACTGATAGCAGCTTTGAGACAGGCACAACAGCAGGCTCACACACACAAGCCGCAAAGCAGATGTCTGCATCTTTCAATGTGAGCTTTAAAAACTCAACTAATGTTTCTCTGTAGGTGTTTTGATTCGAATCCTGGTCTCATAGCGACTAAAAATGTGCAAATTCTAAGGTTTTTGTTTTCTTTTTTCTTCAGGGCTTGATGAATTAGAGCCCTGTATTTATGTTCACATCCCACACGGGGATAAAAGTAAAGTCTTGAAAGTGTATCACGCTCATCTTTTCTCGACACGACAGGAGAGCATCACAGACTCCTCTCTGTATTTCCCACCATTCTATTGTCTCTAGTCCCCATTTCCTGCTGCCTCAATGCACCAGTTTTACTGCAGAGCACAGAGATGAAGCGAGCCAAGGAGGGAGGTGGCGGCAGCGAGAGGGAGAGGGGCAGATGAAGATGGAGTTAAATGCTTGTGTACGTGTAGGGGATGGAGTGGGAAGGGTGCCGACGTGAAAACCCAAGAGAAATATATAATATGCGATAAATGAAAGTCTACCCGGCGGTGTGGGGTGGGGGTGGGGGGTGGACGGCGAGACGGAGAATGAGAAATTATGAAAATAAAGAACAAAAGGGACAACAAAATCGATGGGGTAGCAGAGATAGAGAAGGAGTCAGTGCACATTATTGATGATGAAGTTTAGAAAAAATAGAATTGGTGAAAAACAAAAACGTGAGAGAAACAGAAACAAAGAAAAGACAAGAGGAGGTAAGGGAGGACACGCAAGTGACAGGCAGAGGCAGGGAGAGAGGGAGCGGGACTACAAATCAAGTCGACTGCCTCATCGCATCCTGTATCCCCCTCTCGTCTCCCATCCTCCTCATCCCCTCCACCACCACCCCTTCTCCCTTGTCCCTCACTCCTGGTGCATCTCCATGGCAACCAGACAGGGTGCCTAATACATGAACTTAATATATTTCCAGTGGCAGGGTGAGCTGGGTACTAATGCATTCATCTGTCTCCACACAGACAGGCCAATCAATATTAGGCAAGAGTGTGCTCCAGGACTGCCAAAGTCAGACAGCTAGTCAGATGGTTGGACATGGAAAATCCCAAATGAATGTGTGTGTGTATGTTTGAGGGCATTTAATTGTGTCTAGTGACAAGGACACTTTGATCATTTTTGCTGCTACATATCCAAACTCACTCAGAGCTTTCAAAATGTCTGGCTGTGAGAAAAGATGACTTTATGTATATGGAAGATTTGACATGACAAACAAACAAAACAAAAAAAAGAAGGAAATAGTGCAGGATCAGAGAATTCCCTAATCTCAGAGACTGTCTAGATAACATTAGGGGAAAGCTGGGATACAGTATATTTAGTGATTTTTTGTTCATTATCCAATAACATGTTTGATTTAAAAAAAAAAAAGAAAAAAAAAAGAAATACACAGAGTACGTTTTCACATTTTATTAACATACAATTGTTAAAAACAAACAGGCAAGTATGAAAACTTGTACATGATCAAAAACAAATGATGCCATAGATTTTTGAAGGTGTCATATATGGCGGGGTCACAACCCTTGGCTGTCTTCTTATTTTGCCCCCCAACTGGGGTCTGTAACACAAAGTCAGCCAGAAGGGTTGGCTCCCTGAGATGGTCTGTGCTGCAGGACAAGCAGCCGTTCTCTTCTTCAACCTGAAAAGTCTTGACGGTCACTTACAGATACTGAGATGCATGAAATCCAGAAGAAACAGTGACAGGTATCGCCTGTCACTTTTCTTGCACTTAAATTCCTTTTAAACATACCACTTTAACTCCAAGTGGTATCAAATATACTTTGTAGAAGAGACAGAGTGTATCATGTCGAATATAGTGCTAAAATGATCCCCTCCTCTACAGGATGTTGAAACTGAATGCAGCCCTGTTCCCGAGGACCTCACCTGTGACCTGCTTTGACCTCACAGGTTAAGGGTCTCAGGGACAGAGGGGCATACTGTAAAATTAAAATACACTGAGAAGGTGTAAAGACGGATCCAGTTATTATACAAAAATGCCAAAGCAGAGTTTCAAGCAGTTTAAACTCATTCGAGTTAAATGAGAGAACTGCAGAGTCACTGCACCGAGACAAAGAAATGACCTCATCTGACATTTGGATTCTGCGGCACCAACCGGTCTCCTGGTTTGCTGCAGATTAGAAGCAAAGCTGATCAGTTCAATTAAAACATAATCGGTGCATAATCATGACAGATTTATCCTTGTTTTATCCACGCTAATCTTTTTGTTCTGCAGTTCATCAAATCAGATATAAAGTAACATTTTTAACAGCAGGCACACATACTCTCAGAAACGCAGCCGCTGAGAGCTCATTGCGGAGGAGACACAATTAATTTAGAGGAAACAATTAATTATAAACTGTTGGTAAATGCCACAGGAGTTTTGAACATAATTTCTCAGCTAGCATGGACAAATTACAGTTTCTAATAGCTTTTCTGAGCCCACTGAGCTGAAGAGATTTTAAAAATCAATTTGTGCTCATGTAAAATACGTTACCAGACCATTTCACATGCTGGAACTTAACACACATACACTGAAATCTTAAAGTTGTCAAAGCTGACAAATAATTATTTAAATATGTAAGCATACTTTGCATAGGTCGCATTTTCTTTTTGTTCTCTAGTAACTGTGGCGATACGACTGTTAAATTTTCCACAACTCGCTGTAAAGAGGACTTCAGATTACTCCATCCAGTCTGAGACTTTTTCATTTCAAAGCATCTTTCAGGATCTCCGTGCAGTTCTTATCATTACGGCGTAGCACTGTGCTTTGTCCGTCCACTTCTGAACGCAGGGCAGCATGTGTCTTCTGACTTACCAGCAAAAGAGGAAATTAGTTTTCAAACATTATGAAGAAAAAGAAGAACCCGAGCAGGACACAGGCGGCATGCAAATTATCAATCCACCTGTAGATGACATAACATTATTACACTGCTTGGTCACTTAAACTATGGTGATATCACTATAAAACACTTCAAAGAAATAAATAAATGTCATTGCGTAGAAGTATTAGAAGGCAACGCCACCCACTGGTAGACAGACAGAATGACTGGAGAAGACTGCATATGACCATACCTTAAAATCCAAAATAAAATGGAAATATTTGTATTTCATAGCTCATCTGTGGAGAAATAATGTTTCATCTTGTTTTAATACATTCGCATTAATTTGAATAAAATGAGACGCATTGTGTCCACATCAGTTTGCTGCATTAAACTGAACTCCATTAATGCATATTAATGCATCACGAAAAACCTACAGGTTAACTTTATAAACGTCAGGCCTTCACATTTTGGGACACATAGGTGCGATTTTTGAGGTTTTCTTTGTTAACAGTTGCAGCTGGGGCAGACCACAGGGAACAGCCGAAATGACTGGAATAACGGCAAAAGAGGTGGAAATGAACATTTGTTTAAATCTTGTCAGTATCCAGAGAACAAAACTCTGAGTTAATTACACAGCTCACAGAAATGATTATATCCAGGTTAATTAAAATGCGTGTCATTTTATTGCCTGTCATAACACTGAAATTCATTGACAGCTGTGAAGGGGAATAAATTAAAAAAGAGATGCACGAATGAGGTGCAAACAGAAAATGTGAATTAAAATGAAGGGCAACTTAGACACAAAATGCAGACATGACCTCGACAGCATGGAGCATGGATTCTAGATACTAATTGAAAGGCTATTCAGCATACGGCAACAAAGACAGAAGAGCAGAATAAATACCACAAATACAGGCACTTACAGGAGGGCTCTCATGCTTTTCCATGCACCATGTTTTATTACAGTCAAAGAGAAGAATGTGAAATGAATTAGTGACGACAAAAGTTTCGTATTATAATGCATTTTAAAAGCGGCATAAAAAAATATCACTCTTACTCTACATTGAACTTGTGACATAAAATGCGTTTTAAAAAAAAGAAAAGAAAGAAATTCACCTTACACTCAGCCTCTTCTTTCCTTTTCTTCCCCCAGTCAGAGTGCTTCTGTGTTTCCTCTCAGCTCCCTCTATTTCTGATGGTCTCTGCCGGGGCCAGACAGGGAGCCCGGTGGCAGGTAGGTTACAGACAATAGTATTGATTCCATTATTCTTCTTCTCACTGCCTACCTGCCTGACTAACAGCAGCACCTATACAACACTTCACCTTTTGTCTCTGCAGGGCTGTTGTCACAAACACACAGAGCTGCAAACAAGGGGAAAATAAAGAAGAGAGAGGGGTGAAAAAAAAAGAAGAGAGCTCACTTACTTGTGCGCTCACATTCACGTGTACACACCAACCCGCCTGGTGCACATACTATCCAACAGTTAAAAACGACACACACACAGACACACGCACATTTACCCTCCATGCTGCATAAGTGGTCTCCAGCCATCTCTTTTTCCTTTCCCTCTATCCAAGTCTCCTCTCCTCCTTTTCTCTCTCCTTCTTTTACACTCTCTGGTCGTCATCCTTCCATCTCCCTCTTTTTCCTCACACGTATTTCCGAGTCTCGTACAAACCCGGTAACCTCCCCAACACGCTCGCAGGCACACACGCACGCACGCACATGCTCGCACACACGCTCCAGTCTGCAAGCTCCATATATCTGTGTGAAAGTGTGAGTGAGGGAAGGAGAGAGGGAATGTGAGTGCCGCGAGTGCATGCAGGCGTATGTGTGTGTGTGTGTGTGTACGAGACAAACTCTGTGTGTGTATATGTGTGTATATGTGTGAGGGGGGGGGGGTGTGGGGGGGGGGGGGGGGGGGGGGGGGGGGGGGGGGGGGGGGGGGAGCAGGGAGGCTAGCAGAAAGTGGGGATGGAGGGGGAGGGTCAGAATCTCTAATAGGATGAGAATAGAGAGAAAATATGAAGCCCAGGAGTCTCATGAACCTGAGAGGCTGACATTACTGCCTCCTCATATGTGTACAGCAATCATACCGTCATCAAATTGATTACAGGATTTATGGTGTTGCTCCAACACTGCTGTAAATTGCAGCTGGAGTGACTTCAAACACACTAAATAAAGCCGTGGTGGAAAGCTCTGCTAATTGTAAAATGCGTCTTGATTA